CTCTTTCCTAATCTCAACCCAGAGGTTAACAAGGCCCCTTACACTGAATTTTCAGTCAGACCTCCCTGTGAGGTGGAACTGTGGAACTCAGCTCTGCAGCACGCCTGAGGAAGGTTAAAAACCACGCTGGAAAGGGAGCAAGCATCAAACCTCTTACCTGTAATGATACCTGTTGGTTCTGACCACGTCGATGCTGTCGTCGTGCTGGTGTGACTCTGTGACTGCAGCTATTTTAGAGTCAGTTACACCATCGCGCTGTATGAGATCAGGATGCGGCTCAAGACCTCTGCGTGGCAGTTCTGAAAAGTCAAAGTCACGGCTCGCTTTGCGAAGGGGAAGCTCGTTTTATCTCCCGCTGCCCCTCGCACGGTCAGGACTATCAGCAGATGGCTCCCCGTGGTCTGAAACACGTGGCCTTTGTTCAGAGACCCTTCAGCTGGCCGCGCCGTGGGATGGAGCGGAGTCCCAGTCTCCCCAGCATATGACACTCCCTTTGAGATCTGTTCATCTCCATCATTAGCGTGTGACCACAGAAAAATCAGCTTTATAGATGCTTGCTGTCATCTGCCAAATTTTCCTGCCATGAACTAGTAGATGTTCCTGAAGCCACAAGCACTCCTCTGCCCTGCTTGTATAGTAGTACTACAGAGGTATATTTTTTGAGGGGAGGGAGAGAGGGCGAAAGAAGAGGGGCTCCAAGAAGAACATCGCAAGGACATGGCAGGGCATGATGACCTGGAAAGCTTTAAAGGCGCCAACCTGAAGGACGACTGTGCACCTCAGCCCTGCATTAGCACCCTGGTTACATCCACCAAGATGTGCAAATGAACAGGGATATTGAGACTTCATTTCTAGCTGGACCGGATATTTGCAAGGAGCCGCTGAGGGTGAAGTGAGATGATAGCTGTAGTTCTTCGGTACGTAGCTTGCTTGCCTGGGCTGCCAGGGATACATTTTAGGCTAAGGATTAAAATTCTACCAGCTGCCTGTGGCCTCCAGAGGTCAGCATATCACTTGGGAAGAGCTAAATCACAGAGCCCTCAAACTATACTTTTCAAGCATGATCTCCTTATGTCCTCCATATAGTTTCCAGTTTCACCGGTAATCAGATTTAAAAGTTTCATCCCCAACACTAGATGTGACAACAAAATCGGGAAAAGAAAGCAGAGCTCTCAGAATATCCATTGTAAAATGCAAAATATTGTCATTGGTCAGTAGTGCCACTTGGATGAGAGATCCCTTAGGAGACAGGTTTATTGAAAATAATCAGACAAATAGATATCCATATGCTTAGGTGCTATTCCTTACATTAGCACTGAGGGGGTGAATGGACACGCCAACCGTCTTCTGAATGGACTGTCAGACTTGTTCAACTGTGTTACAAGCTTAAATTTTTGAGTACGTTCGAGCACAACATGCAGTTCTAGTGACACTCTTGAAAATGAGAACGTAGAACCAGAAAACATTCACAGATGAGAAACAGAGATTATCGGAGGTGTGAAGCAGCTTTCAGGCAAGAAGGAACTTAGACTATTCATCTCAGAAAAAAATAAGTTGGAGGGCCCACAGGAAGGATGAAGAGGGACTTTTCACAAGTGTGTGTAGTGATAGGACAAGGGGGAATGGCTGTAAACTAAAAGAGGGCAGATTTAGCTTAGATATTAGGAAGAAATTCTTCACCATGAGGGTGGTGAGGCAATGGAACAGGTTGCCCAGAGAAGCTGTGGATGCCCCCTCCCTGGAAGTGTTCAAGGCCAGGTTGGATGGACCTCTGAGCAACCTGGTCTGGTGGAAGATGTCCCTGCTCATGGCAGGAGGGTTGGAATTAAATGATCTTTAAGGTCCCAACTCTTACCATTCTATGATTCTATGAATATGATATAGGTCTTTAAAGTCAAGAAGAGGGAAAAAAACGGCAATAGGAAATGACTGTTCATTGTCTGTCACAGTATGGTGGTCAACCAATGAAGCTATCAGGTAACAGGTTTTGAAATAAACACAGCATGGAATTAAACTGTGAAAAGCATTGGTTTGGGACTTGATGGAGGCCAAAGAGTCAAAAAAAGGGACTAGACAAACTCACGCAAAGAATGGGTCGGTGTTAAGCAGAGGGGTCTGAAGGCAAGCTCACACCAAGCTTGTTGGACCTTGCCGCAAGCTGGAAGGGCTCCATGGGGAGGTGACTCCCTGCTTGGGTGAACACCCACTACTTGGCTCTATGCGAGCAGGATACCAAATGTCCACTGTAGCCTGACCAGGCATACTTCTCATCTTCTTAGCATTACTACCATGCTAAGGAGCTTCCTTTTGCTTAAGAAAACAGTGACAGAAGTCCTTGCAGGAAAGCCTCTGAACTTAATTCTTACTAAATACTATCAAGTATTGATTGACTCTAGTGATTTTGTACTGGATGCAATAATCCAGAGCAAAATCAGGATAAGCTGCCTTTCTAGGAGACCCTAATGCTACATGATCTCCTCTGAGATCAGATAGGCCCTGTCTTTGTTGCAAAGTACCACCCAAATGTATTTCCCTGTGGGCCACCAGCGTCATAAACATCCTCATAAACACTGAAGAGTCTCAATGTCACACAACCCTATCTAATTTCTCCTACAATACTATCTAATTTCTCCTTAGCGTGAAGAACTCTACAAGGCTTACTGAGACCTCAGTGTTCTCACATTACTGCTTTGAAATGCAACCTTAAGTGGATCCAGCAGGCATCAGCCGTAGACAAAATGTAGGAAACCTGCTACAAAAAATAGAATAAATAATATCAACAAAAAATCCAGCCCAACTCCAAAAAAAGCAATAACAACACGCAAATCTTCTGTTGTTTTTATTAAAGCTGCAGAGTCTTACTACACACAACAAATATTTTATCGATATAATCTAAGTTAATAAAATAGTTGAGCAACTCTTTAGATTTATATTTGTATAGAAATAATTTATGGAACATCTGATCTTGAAACAGCAGTGCCTGAAAACAACTATTCAGCAGG